TTTCCATTATAAAATTAAAAAGATGACTTTTTCCTTTCAATAAATTTATAAGACACCAAAGGATTTTAAAAGTCAAATATTACGCATCTACCAAGTAAGTGCTAGAAGAAACTGAAGGAAGAGTAGCAGCAGAAATAACTATTTATTCTTAGTAAACTAAAATTAACATGTACATTTTCTAAATTTGTATTGCTTACATATCAAGTTACCTGTAGGTACACAATTATTAATGTTATGTATTATCTCTTTTCTGGACTAAGAACTTGCTGAAAGAACTCAACAATTGCTTAGGAAACATCAAAACTCTCAAAGATTTTGTTGTGTAAAATAATCACATATTTGGAATCTAAGTGAAGATATTCTTTCCTAACTATGCCTTTCATGAAGTAAAATTTTTTGAAAAGTGTAAAACAAGGCTGAATTTTACCTAGTCTTCTCTAATACAGCCAAGTGAGCTCCAAAGTGTGTTAGATTCAATTTTTAAATAACAATGGCTTTGGTGCAATTATGTTTGACCTCTTCTCAGCGGGATTAAACCAAAAACGTAGTTAAGCACTGCTAAAGTTTGAAAACAGGAGCTTATTAAAATGAGAGTACCAACTTATTCCTTGAGGTTTTTTCTAGCTATGGACTTAAGACCCATAGAATTGAAATACAGTTTGCCAAAAAAATTGCCTTATTATAGTCAGAGAAGATTTTGATAGGTGAGTACCCTCAATTTCAAGAGAATTTTAACTGACACAGAAAATGGAATAAATTACCTTGACATAAACTCTGGGGTTAAATAAAAGTTAGACAGTTGCTGGAATTTTAATGGTGAGATCACTTGTAAAGGATAAACTTTAACTTGTATAAAACTTTAATCATAATAGCCACATAGAAGAAAGCTGGAAAAAGTACTAAAATCACCAAGAAAAGCACACTAGCCCTGGTCTTTGTCCTGGACATTTAAATTGGTTTCTTTATCTGTAGTAATTGTAAAGAGGCCTGTGAACCAGGTGATTTCTTCAGCTTGGTTGATTGCACAGAAATCCATGCAATTCATTAAGCCCAGGAAGCAAGTGATCAAGAAGAATATGAAAATGCCAAGCAAGTCCCTGGTTTCTTTTAGAGTGTCCACCAAATAAATGAAGCTATTGGCATAGCTGCTGCTTAGGAAAAATATATGCTTAGGCGCAAAATATCAAAAAAGAAATTGGAATTACTGGAAGTTTGATAAAGATAAGCAAATCTAAAGGAATTTACATTGGCCATCTTTATTATCAATTTCTAAAGAAATGAAAAACATCATAAATTAAAAACTCATTCTCTGTGTTGAATATACCTGTTTTGATCAGACTAAGTTATTCTCTCATGAGAAAATGAATAGTAGATAATTTTATGTTGTAGGGGGAAAGTGAGTTATCAGATTCAAGACAACCACTACAGGAGAGTATCTCTCTCTCTCCCTCTCTCATCCCTATCTCTATCATTTCTATCCCCATCATTCACACTATCTCCATCTTCATCTCTCACTTTACCTCAATCTCCATCTCCATCTCTATCTCTGTCTCTATCTCTATCTCTATCTCCCTCTCTCTCTCCCTCTCTCTCTCTCTCTCCCCTCACCATAAAGCAGTTTATGGGCCACCAAGACAACATTCAATAATGTTGATCATCCACACAATCAAGAGATCTTGTCAGGCCATTAAACAACAGCAAAGAAAGTATTTCAGGAGAGGGGGAATATTTACTGTCCCTAAAATCCATAAAATTATAAAATTATAAAATACAGATATATGTTTATTCTACTCACCATAGTTCTCATAGCACATATGTACTTTTTAAGTTTACAAATAATTTCCTACTATTTCAATTTAACATAGAGGGAAGCAGTACAGCATAATTTTAATTGGATATAGCAAAAATAACTGATTCTTATAAATTGCACTGGCTTATTAAGATGATCCCTGTGAGGTGGAGATAATTACTGACCATAAGGTAATGTATATTCACAATTCATTATAGAATTTCAGAAAGAGCAATTTAATTATCCTTAGATATATTGACAAAATATTAGCTTAAAAAACTTTAAAGATATCTTAAAAGTATTTTATTTGATGGAATAAAAAACAAAACTTGAGATTTAATATTAGGGTGGGGTGTCTGCATATTTCAACAGGGCTTTTCTAATTGATCTCCAGTTTGGGCTGCTTTTGAGCATGCAATGATATTTTACAAAGGAAATGCTGAATCCCAAAGGGAAACACTAAATTGTAGTTTTAAAAACTCATTACCAATAATTAATAATGAACTTTAGCTAAACAATAACAGGTGTTTCACTAATCCCCAACAGAAACAGATGGAAGCACAAATGTTTTATAAATAGTGGATACATGCAGAGCAATAAGCTTGGCAGGAACGGTTTTGTTTTCTAATTGCCAGTCAGAGTCAACATCTTATCACTTGCATTTTCTCTAAATTAAAACACTCAGATTAAGTATTTTTTCTCATTCCTTATTTATAAAAATGTACATCACATTTAATGTTTTATTATCCTATTATATCTCTGGCCTCACTGGCAAAGATAATATTCTTGAATGCTTCTTTGGTACATTGTGAAATATCGTATGTTAGATAAAACAAAAGGCACACCATGCAGCCTTCCTTTCTCCCCTTTCCTGCTTCCTAGTTCCTGGGCAAGAAATACTGATCTAAATATTCTTTCATTTCTTAAACCTTCAAAATAATGAATGTCGATCGGTGAAATAAGAAAGCAAGGAGTGAGTCTATAAATGGTACTATAAAATCTAATTCTATAGATTGAGGGGGCTATTTTCAGGGGAAAGGATATACTACATAATTTTGTAGATCTACACTAACGATGAAAGAATCTCTCCTTGTAGTCGTAAACAAAGGGCTCTTGAACTCATGGAGGGATGGTTTTCTTACTACTTCTGACATTAATCTGGTTTAGATTTTCAGAAATAAATGATTAGTATTGTGACAGTTAAACTGCTAGCAAGCTTCATTGACTTTTACAATTCCTGGTTCTCTGTGTCCTGTGACTTTATTAGTAATTACTGTGAAGAAATTTAGTGGCACAAAGAATATATTATTTTTCTCAGATAATTCAACTTTAAAACTAATGAAATTTAAAGGAAATATACATATTATTCATTTTTAAAATTTCTCAGCAAAAATGTAGATTGATCTCATATGTAATTAAATAGTTGAACATGTATAGGCAAAAGTATCTATAGAGGATAACTTTCTTAAATCACCACAGTTGAACAAAATGAGCAGCAAACCTTTTGCTTTAAATTGATTTCATAGGGCTGCGTGTTGCAAAGTTAGTGGACTTATTTACCCCACCTCCACTTCCAATCAAGTGGAGGTCCTACCTCCACTTCCAATCCAGCACTCTGGTAATGCATTCCTGGGAAGCACCGGCTCAAGTTCTTGGACCCCCTACCACCTATTCAGGAGAACTGGCTGGAGGTCCCAATTCTTGACTTAGGCCTCACCCAGCCTTGGCTGTTGAGTGTACTTGGGTGTGAGCTACCAAGGTGAAATATCTCTTCCCTTTCTGTGTCCTTCTCCCTCTCCCTCCTCTTCACCCTCTTGGTCTCTCTGCTTTTTCAAATTAAAACTACACAGTTTTTTAAAATAAAATGTGTTTTATGGTATATAGAGACCAGGGTTTACTGCTATTGAGAAGTCACCTTCATGGGGCATTCCTCTGTCCGACTGTGGCGAAATGTCAGAAATAGAGTAACCTTATAATACCTCTGTTGCACATCATCTAGATACTTTGTCAACAATGCAAGGTTGTTACTGTGATTCTGGTTTGAAAAACAGAAACACTCAAGAGGAGGTGGAATTCAATGATTTGGTCAAGTATTGGAAAAGGATGAAATTAAGAATTACATTTGTGTTTGTGTCCAAAAATCTTTCTTTCCACTACACCACACTACCTTCCCGAAGTTCCCATCTAATTTTGCAATGCTGATATACTAAAATGAAAACAGTAAACAATTTTGCCAAATGAGTTTTCAGAATTTTCAGGGTTTACTCCCTGCATTTCAGTTTCAAACTCCTTAAAAATGTAGAAAGCAGAAGGAAACATAACTAGCTACTGATGTTTAGTAAAACATCCAGAAGGACAAGTTCTTATGAATTTCTTATTTTCTGTAGTTTTGATGTGATATTCACTAAAAGACACAGGAGCTGTAAAAATATATTTTAGAAAAATTTCACTAAAGTAGTTTAAAAAATAAAGTTTACTTTAAACTATCAGCTTCAATTATTCTATTGTGAGTCAGTTCCTCCTTACCACCGTACAATCATTTTCTGACATGAAGGTTTTACATCTGCAGAAGTCATAGCAATGGCAATCAGGTTACTCATCCTTAACTAAAATATCAGTGAAGAATACACTGTTACCCTCTGGGTCACAATTAAAGGTATGCAAGATTATACATTCTTTTAGCAAAAATGGTTCTCCATTCTATTGATTATTAACTCCATGGCTGACTGTCTCCATCAGTAGTTCTCTGAAGGAGCTAAACAAAGTTCATACTTAAGTGAGAAAATCTAAAAGTTTGAGGAAAATTAAATATTTGAACAGTCATGAATTTCAATATGATTTTCATTCATTACTAAGAAAAGAATCATATTTTTATTGTTATAGGTCTTTTCCTCCACATTCACAAGGAGCAAAATAATTCACTGTTTTGCTCAAAGATATTATTAAATGTATTAGCATTTATATATAAACATATTAGCATGTTTTTAGCTCTCAGCTGACTTCATTTGCAACAAGCATGCAGTGACTGAAAGTACAATTCAAGGCCCTAATGCCAGTTATTACTTCAGCTTTTTTATTGGTTTTATTCTAGATTTACACATGCATTATGCAATTTTTTTAAAATGAAAATACAGTTTAGTACATAAAAAAGCCAACAATCTTAGAAACAAAGACTATTAAAGCAGACAATTACAAGAATTGCTTTCAATACCTGGTTTTAAATCCCCATGGACAAATATGTCAATCATATATCGACAGAATGCATACTGATCTGACAGAGTAGAAAGAAAAAAACACAATGAAAAAATGTCATTAACACTTTTTCTAGGGAGAAATGGTTTAACAAAACAGCACAATTCTATTCTAGTTACTAAAATATTTTCTATGAAGGTATATTTTATATTTATAAACACATGGTGTGGGGGAGCAGATATAATAAACATAATGCTCATTTTATTCCATACAACATTAACCTTAAAGATTGAAATAGACGCATATAGGGTAATATAATAGTAGTTGTGTTTTTTTAATCAAAACTGTTTTGTTAAATTTATTATAAAAGTCATGGTATTAAAGACATTTTTCTTATTTTCTCTTATATGGATTTCCAACAATGAAGCAGAAGTTTTACAAAAGGAAGTTGTTTCCAACTTGGAATGTTTCACCAAATAGTTTTTCTCATCCCTTCTGTTAGCTGGCTAAATGAGGGCTCACTCTTTTGCAATCTCTCATGGAACCTCTGCATGGAAATGCTCCCTAATTAAAAGATCAGAAAGAACAGAACAACAGCACTGAATGATATCACTGTTAAGGTAATTAATTAATTAATTTTCATAAGATCATCTTATGAACTTGACTAGCATATAATCTATGAAAATGGTAAAAAGAAACATTGTATATGCATATTTGATACAGACTTTGTCAAAAATCATTTCAGGAGTTGGTTTTCTTTCTGCTGTAAAGTCATTGCACCAATTTTAAATTCTCACACAACTTTAGATTCTCCTGAGAGCAATCCAATCCAATCCAATCCAATCCAATCCAATTCAATTCTCAGTTAATGAATCAGTCTGCAAGTTTTACCATGTCTTCTTTAAAGCTCATAGATAATGAAATAATTCTTGTTCAAAATGATTTACACTTTAACATTCCTAAAAGTCATTTTATTAATCCACCAAATCCAAAGACAACTTTGAACCAAAAGTTTATTGAATTTATGAGGTATGAGACAATCTTAATTGCTCCAAATTAAGTATATCAAACATAATAGAGCAAAACATTTTACTACAAAAGTACACATTCAAGGATGCTTTTAAACGTCAGTTTTTTTTAAAGAAAATTGACAGTATTCATAATGTAATCCACTTTTATTGTAAACCATATCTTTAAAAAATAAATGTAGTTACTACAGTAGATGTACAAATTTAATCTTTTCATTAAACCTAAATATGGATAAGCCAACACTCATATAAAGTTTCAAAAAATTTCTTATATTTGGATTGTTGTGGTGCTTGAGACATTTTTCCCAAGGGTGAGATGAGAAATGGAGGGAGACCAGTTCTTGGGTCAGTGCATGATCTATTTGCTCTTTTATGGTACTGGCAAAACTGACTGGAGGTTCCGATCCTAGGATCTGGGAACCCCAGGTACAGCAGAGAAGTAAGACAAAGGTAAATGGTACTTTCTCTTTCCTCAGCAAAAATAGAATTGAAAGCTTGTCTGCAAAAGAAAGCAAAGTGAAAAAGTACATTTCCCTTAAATGGAAAATTTGAACTTTAACCAAGGAATACTTTCTAAAAATTGAGTTTTTCCTGTTCCTTTCAGTACTAGCAGGACTAGAATTTTTTTAGGTTGCTTCTTTCAATAATGTGGGAGTGGCTTTCAAAGGGCAACTTACACATCAAAAAGATGGGGTATTTGCCAAAACGTAGATTTCTGGGCACCAACAGCCAAAAATGTATAATCCATGGATCTACATCTCAGGAATAGGCATGTTTAACAAACTTTCCAGATAGATCTAATTATACTGTACTAGCAGAATCACTGATCTACATTTTTCTTCACAGTGATTACTTGTGACAGTATTACCTTCTATGAGAGCTAAGGAGAGGCTTTGTTTTTATGTATATTGGAGGTGCAGAATGCAGGAGTTATTTTTAATGTTATGTTTTTGCAGAAGCCCCAAAATGAAATATTGTTCTCTGCCCAAGATTGGGATGAGTCGATTAAACACATAGTATGTTGAATCCAGTATTAAATTAACTAAAATATTCACTCCACAGAGTGTTCTGTTTCACTGAATGTTGACACTGTAATGAAACTTTTTAGTTGCTAAACTGAATGATTACCAAAATACAATGTTTGTGTGTATTATGTAATTTTTTTGACCATAAAATTATTCATTTAACTGATTCACCAACAGTGGAATGAGCTTCTAATTTGAAAAGGAGGTATCTCTGAATTCAAAGAACTGTTTTTAATATAGAAAATTATGACTTAAGCTACCAAACTTATGTGGTTTTGGTTATTAAATAATTTTGTGATCTTGCATTCTAATGGCACCAACACCAATAAGAACATAAGAATGTTCTTGAGACACATTAAATTAGAAATTTTGAGATTTTTTTTTAAGTAGGTAGATTTGGGTTTGAAACTCCCTAGTGTGTCTGCTTCACCTGTCAAAGAACAGAGCAAAACCAACCCTTCCTGATTTCTAGGAATTCATTTTGTAGATTTTTCTTTTAAAAAAAAGCAAAAGAAAAAACAAACAAGCAAACCATAAAAACAAAACAAAACAAAATGTTACAGCAGGACATGTGTCCTAAAGAAAATATGAATTGTCGTACCATTCCAATTTTCATAAATATGGCATAATCATTTTCATTAGACAATGTCATATTTTATAAACAACTCTATTTTTACCTAACATCCTTTTAGGCAGAATGCATGCTGTCCATTTCCCCCTTTCTTGGTCTTCAGGAAGCAGTGATGGATATCATTCAGCTGCTGCCTATTTGGTATTCCCTGTGGAGTGGCAGCTGAGAGAAAAATGCATTCTGGATGCAGAATATCAACAGAAGGGACATTTTTAAAAAACCTCAAATGAAGATGGGCACCTGAGGTCCCATGTTCTAAAGGTAGACACATATTAGCTATACTATCTTTGCCTCAACTATTCAAATATTTGTTAGAAAGAAGAAAGAATGAGAAAAGTGCACTGGGATACAGTTTTATGATTCTTTTTTTCTTCCGCAGAATTGCTAGACACCATCAGAAATCTAGTGAACAATATTTGGTTATGCCAGCCTCTCTTACCCTATTTTGAACAGATTGGTCCGTAACAGTAAGATTGTATGATAGATAAGTGTGTGTGTAACTTTAAATGATAGACATGATATACACGGGCATATTATCCCCAATGTTCAAGTGTACATATGTTAATCTATTGAGTGACCTTCTTGACTAAATTAACCTATATATTACATAATTTAATGTGTGCGATATAAAAACCTGTTTCCCAAGGAGTAAAAGACATGTGTGCCCTATATGCTTGAAAAATTATCTAAAAATCCATATGAAAGTACCTCAAAATTGGTAGATCAAACTTATGCTAAGTTAGTAAATAATCTCTTGCCCAAATGAGAACAAAATAAACAAGTTTATAAAGCCACCATATAAGATTCTCAAAATCAAAACTGTTTTATGTTATTTTTCAAATCACCACATTTTCATTTATCCTTTTAGTTGAAACCACCATATGATTTTATTTTTATCAAAAAATATTGTTAAATTTTTCTTGTAAAAAGGATAAATCAGCATATTTGTATGCCTTATTAGCCATTAGAGGCTAAGATTTTATTATTTACCTACTGAAACATTTATTTAATTGATGATAGCTGTTCTTTATAGGGGTCTTGCTCTAGTAAATGCATTTAGTTAGCTGATAAAATCACTTTTGCTTTTGCATGTAAGTTATATTTGAATATCCTTATAATAGGTAATAGTTTTCATGCACAAATGAAAGCAGTACAAAGCAAATGAAAATGATAATACAGTGGCTTTTAATAAATGTGATTACTGATAGAAATAAAATATGCTCTACCTGGAAAATAAATATCATTTGAAAGTGTTCTGGACAAATCCTAATAAGTAAAATATATACCCCCCAAAATCTCAAAGATGAGAGAGGTGAATATCAAAACTCTGCTTCTGTTCTTGGTTGCTAGATAAGTATTTTGACAGTCCCATATATAACTGGAATAAAATTTGACATACTGTACTTATGGATAAAATATCAAAATATTCATGGTATACTTCAATTTGTTCCATGTGATTATTTTTCCTTTTTAGTGGGAAATCTAAAATGCAAAACATTTTAAGATCCAACTAGACACTTGGTGAAACTGAAGATTAATTTTTTTGTTTTCTATCATAGCAAAATATTCCATTGAAAATATCTCATTTTTATTTACTACATACATTTTATCCAAAATATTTCATAAATGATAGAGGTTTTAAAAATCTAATAATTTTAATTTATGTTAAGGAATATAAAAATCTTGAAAACTGAAGAAAAGTTAGTGCTCCAAAGTTTTAATTTCCCACATTTCTTAAAATATTGCACTTCAATAAATGAAAATTATCTAAATTAAAATGTTTGTGGATCAGTAAAATAAGATAATTAAAGATAAATTGTTTACTTTTTTCCTTTCTGAAATATTTTTTTAAAGTGTATATTTGGGGCCGGTGCTATGGCACAGTGGGTTAAAGCCCTGGCTTGAAGAGCCCATATGGCCACCAGTTCTAATACTGACTGATCCTCTTCCCATCCAGCTCTCTGCTATGGCCTTGGATAGCAGTGGAAGATGGCCCAAGCCCTTGGGCCCCTGCACCTGCGTGAGAGACCTGGAAGAAGCCCTGGCTCCTGGCTTCAGATCAGCACAGCTCCAGCCGCTGTGGCCACCTGGGGAGTGAACCAGGGGATGGAAGACCTGTCTCTCTATCTCCACCTCCCTCTGTAACTCTTTCAAAAAAATAAATAAAATAAATCTTTAAAAAAAGTGTATATTATCTTATAAAACACAGTTTACAGATATTTGTAAGTCAAAGCTTATAAATAATTGAATTCGGGCTAAAAAGATAGTTCAAAGAGTGGATAAAACAAAAATAAATTGCAAATTTCATATCATTTAGTTTACAATGAGGAAACATTATTTTCAGATTCACTCTCCAAATAACTTCCTCTATACCGAGGTTTAAAAATTCTTAAATTAAAATCCATTAGAAAATGATTCCTTGATTTTAGCCCTCAAATAAAATTATTGACAGCATAAAGGAACATTTTATTTTGCAGTACTTCTAAGGATTATAATTTTCAGACATAGTCACAACAGATTAGAACTCAGCACTTCAAATAGAGAGTCTCAGGATTGAGTGGCAAAGAACTTCAGGTTTAAATTCTGCTTGATTAAATGCTGTGTCTCTGGGAAGTGGGGATGTAACTGCCATATCAGCTTGTGAAGAGTGGCACAATTTGTCAGAAGCAAAGTTTTCTAGAATCATATACATAGTCAATGAAAACTGGCAAATAACCCTGAGAGTTCTTTTATCAATGAGGTTTTCATTATTAAATTAAATTAATCTGAATATTTTGACATATATTCTATACAGTGTGTTCCTCCAGTGGCATCAGGAATGTCTATAGTTGTTATACTTGTTCAACATTATTTGAAAACCCATTTCCTGAGTAACTCCCTGAGAACTGCTGTCATTCTGTCGGGACTGCTTTTGTACAAATAGGACAAATGTAATCATTATTTAGTCACTTATTAGAAGTTGTTCAGCTCAGGGCCAGCGCTGTGGCACAGCGGGTTAAAGCCCAAGTCTGCAGCGCCAGCATCATATATGGACACCAGTTTGAGTCCCGGCTACTCCACCTCCATGCCAGCTCTCTTCTATGGCCTGAAAGAGCAGTAGAAGATGGCCCAAATGGTTGGGGCCCTGAACCCACGTGGGAGACCTGGAAAAAGCTCCTGGCTCCTGGCTTCGGATCAACTCAGCTCTGGCTGTTGTGGCCATTTGGAGAGTGAACCAGCGGATGGATGATCTTTTTCTGTTTCTGGCTCAACCTCTATCTGCAACTCTGTCTTTTAAATAAATAATATAAATCTTACAAAAAAGAAGTTGTTCAGCTCAAAAATTCAACACTTATCTAGTCATTGAATAATCCAGATGCTAACTGAAAACCTCTTGAAAAACACTTTAAAATGCATCTTCATATGTATGAGCACATTTTACTATGTCTATAAAGAAATACTAATTCCCAATTTGTTGAATTTCATTTCAAGAGTTTTTGCATATAGATACATATACATATATATACTTACACACACATACATACATTTATGTATGTACGTATAATATTTTACCCTATTTGAAGTCTGGTTTCGCCCTTTAGCAGTTTTTAATTTCACTGCATCTGCTTCTTGCCCAATGTTCTCTTAAAACAACCAGCTGCCTCCTCTGATTGTTTACCTTTCTGTTCTTGTTTTGAAACAGCAGCAGTCTCTTTGCTTTCCTTCTCTTTGGGTTTCGGTGTTTTCTGTACTTCTTTTGCCTTTGCAACCGTTTGTTTCACTTTCTCCTGTTTCACACCTTTCACTTCCTTCTTAGTCTTTTCTTCAATCTTTTCTTTAGTTCGAGCTTTCTTCTCCTCTGCAGAATTAAGAACAGTTGGATTATTATAGTCTCTCTCCAACATAATAGTTCATTTGTAATTGATTATTAAGAGCAATTCTTAAAGAGAATAAGGTAGAAAAGCAGTGTCCTTGACATAAGTACTTGTGATCAAATTTTAGAGTTTTATGCATTTATATGCAGTACAATATTGGACTCCCAAAAAAGCAAAAATCATAGTTCACTTGTAAGTTGGGAATCTTTCTGATTCATAAACTGAAATATCATTTTAAAATAATCAGGAACTTAGCATGTCAACAAGGAGGCGTTAGAAATATGCAGGGAATGTATAATAAGCATGTTCAGTGAAAGATAATTTCCACACCAAAGATCTAAAGAACTTGCCTCTTAGCAAGATTGTGATCATTTTGCTTCACAACTGAAAAATCTTGAGTTTGATTCAAGAAAAAGAAATGCAAGCACAGCAATTTTAATAAAACAATGAAATCTATTTGAAGATAACTAAGATGCATAACCTCAAATGATTTAGCTTAAATAGACAAAGGGTGAAGACATTGGATTTTTTTTTCTCATGTCAAGTCAAAGATAATAATTCTAAGGGCTTTTAAGGCCCTAAGTATATCCTTGGAAATAGAAAAGGCTTGAAAATAGAATACACATGAACATATTCATGAATTAAATTTTATATAATATAAACACATATATAAATTTGATGCTATGTGCATTTGGAAGAGTGAACTGAGAGAAAGATTTATCAGTCAGTCCATTACTTTATAAAAGCAATAATTGTAATACAGTACACCATTCTGGAAATTATTCATAATGGATACTGTGTATTGACATTATTTATTGTATACAACAACAAAAACACACCACTGTAAGTCTACTGCAATGTTGGAATCTCTTATCATTTGCTACTTCAATGTGCAGCTTTTATTGTCACTTGTTTAAAAGATTTGATGGGGCCAGCGCTGCGGCTCGCTATACTAATCCTCTGCCTGCGGCGCCGGCACACCAGGTTCTAGTCCCAGTCGGGGCACCGGATTCTGTCCCAGTTGCCCCTCTTCCAGGGCAGCTCTCTGCTATGGCCTGGGAGTACAGTGGAGGATGGCCCAAATCCTTGGGCCCTGCACCCGCATGGGAGACCAGGAGAAGCACCTGGCTCCTGGCTTCGGAGCAGTGCAGTGCGCTGGCTGCAGCGCGCCGGCCGCAGCGGCCATTGGAGGGTGAACCAACAGTAATGGAAGACCTTTCTCTCTGTCTCTCTGTCTCTCACTGTCCACTCTGTCAAGAAAAATAAATAAAAATAAATAAACAAATAAAAAGATTTGATGGAACAGTGGAATCGAGTTTCGTGACTTGGAATGCTGAACAATGACTAAGTCAAATAGATATGATGAAACTTTAAAATAATGTTTCAAAAATAAAGCTAAAATGTGTTTACTTGTTGCAAAAATATTTTAAATACTTGGATAGTTCTTTCATAACATATTTCTCATGAACTGATAGTTGGAGGTGTTGTAGAAAAAAAAAAAGTGAAACTGTCCACATGCTAGCTACATGCTAGTTAGGCAGCAGAAGCATAACCATCTGTAGTACTGTATTTAATCGACTGGACCAACCCTCCTAACACAATGGTCCTCAAAAATTTTACAGGAAAATGTGGATACTGCTTTAGAAGTAGAGATTTGTGCCGTGAACAACTAATTTTGTAAACAATAAACCACTTACTTTACTATGAAATTCCTCAAAGCTAAATCCTTACTGTAAAATTGCTCAAGGCTAGAGTGTAATGTTGATCTTCAAGAAGAAAGATTATGCTATACACATTATCCAAAGTTATTTGATCATAAAATTCTCCCAGAAATATCACTCAAGTACTCCATAAATTTCCATAGTTTTCTGGCTTCTGCGATTATTCTCAGAATTTTCTTCCTCTTCCTATAAACCATTTCTATTTCTCCTTTGCTTGTTTCTCTTTCCTGCGGCAAACTCATACATTTCTGTGACTGGAATCACCATCTTTCGACATATGACTATAAATCAAGATCATTCCAGAACCCCACACTGAAATGTTTATGAGTGTCCGGAGAGAAAGATCCACTAGGATGGCCAACAGCGTTTCAAAGTCATACAAACTCTTAGATGATCACAGCAAAAAACCTCCAGAGAGTAGATCAGCTTGGGCTCACAGTTAGGTGATAGACGTCTTTAAGTCAGCACAGTTAGTATAACTATTTGAAGAAATTTTAGTGTAATATTTAAAACTCTGTGACACTTAACTTCATCTTCTCTCTCCTCTCTTAGCATCTCTAGAAGTTACTTCCTACACTAGATCAGTTCTTTTTTCTTAAATATCTCATGTATTTCTGCGTAAAACATAAAACAATGTCTTTATTATATTTCCTATGTTTTTCATTAACCTACAAACTGTCATATTCAATTCACATGCAAAACTTGCCTCAACTATTGTATTTAACCATTTCTTCTCCTTAGCTTCCATTTGCCTGAATTTTTATTAAAGCACACATTTTATTACTTATTTTATATCAGAAGCTTTTCATCTGTCTCTTTCTGGCTAGGTTTGATGAAGTTAACTATCAAGTGATGATCCTTCAAGCCAACAGCCAGTAGGGGACCAAAGTTTTCAAACAACCCTGGAGAATGAACAACAATGTAAATGAGTTTGAAAATGATTTTCCCTCAGTTGAACCTCCAAATGAGAGTGCATCCCTAGTTAACACAGTGCTGGCAATCTCCTGAGACTGTGAAAAAGGACCATTGAACTAATTCATGCACAGATTCTTGACCTGCAGAAACTGTGAGACAATAATGTGCATTGATTTAAGTCTCAGAGTTCATGGTAATGTTTTAAACAACAATAAAGGGGGGCCAGTACTGTGGTGTAGCAGGTAAAGCCACCACCCGTGCCTGAATCCTATATGGGCAATGTTTCAAGTCCCCTCTTCTCCACTTCTGATCCCGCTCTCTGCTATGGCCTGGGAAAGCAGTAGAAGACTGCTCAAGTGCCTGGGCACCTGCACCCACGTGGGAGAACCAGAAGAAGCTCCTGGCTCCTGGCTTTGGATCGGCCCAGAAACAGCCATTGCAGCCATTTGGAAAGCTAATCAGCAGAAGAAAGAATTATTTCTCTGCCTCTGCTCTCTGTAGCTCTGCCTTTCAAATAAATAAATATTAAAAAAAAATAAAAAACTAATACATATTAAATATATGCCTGTTGAATTAATGAATTATGCTTGAAGCCTTTAATTATCTTTGGAAAGAATATTCACTTTATATTACTATGCTTGAATTTATGACTGAATCCAACTGTATATTAATGATATGAATTTGACCTGGCCAACTGTTTTCTTTCTCTGAAGATCAGTTTCCTCACTATTGCATTAAGTAATTAATTTGAGTGAGCTCTAATAGATCTATGAAAATTTCAATACATATATATATACTTTATTACATATGATATAATTTCATTCATATCTGTGAAATGGAAGAAAAATCAAATAGAATATAATTGCATTTCAATCTTTTAGAATATATTCATGCTAAATTCCTAGAAACAATCTTTATTTTAAAATTCAACAATTTTAATTCAGTAAAATATTTTACATTATAGATTATTTAAATATATATGTCTCACATACCTTATTATTTTGTAATTTATGAACACTTTTGAAAATAGAAACTATTTTACTGAAATTATTGATTTCTTGAAAATAACACCATATGAAACCTACATTATAAAATGTGAAAAAGACATTTAAATTAGAGTATAACATTGAACTACAGTTAAAATTCATGCTTTTCTAGTACCAATCAATCAATAGATATTTTAAAGTAGAAAAATCTGGTTTGCTCAATCTTCCAAGAAACGTAATGGTGTAGTCATATTCTAAATTTGGGACATATTATCAAGATATGTTCCATTTTCAGTCTTAAGACTTAAGACTGATCAATATGTACTCATGAAAAAAATTCTAAATTTGAATCTTCTAAAATCAATTTCAAGGTATAACATTTTTCAAGAACTGTAAACCAAAAGTTATGATAATATCCTATTGATGCAGTAATACATTAAAACACATTTAACTACATAAAGCTATACCCATTTTTTATCTTCCAGTTTTTGTGATTCAAAATTGTTGGCTTAAAATGGCTCAACTGGATTCTCTGGATAGGACTTATAAGGCTAAGATCAAGTTGTCAACAGGGTTGCGTTTCGTACCACAGTCTCTTGGGACAACTGGCATCCAGGCTTATTCAGTATGGGGATAGAATTCACCTCCCACTTTTTTCCCTGTGCCCCCCTCAGTTTCATACCAATCAAGCAGAATAAGCCCTCACACTTCAAGTTTCACTTTCTTTTCTGCTGAGTCTTTGTTATAAATACTTTTTATAGTACATTGAACCCACCATATAATCCAGGATCATCTCTGCAGTTTATATCAACTTTCACTGGCTTTTGCAAAATTATTTTTACCATGTAATGTAACATAACTGTGAGGATGACACTAAGAGGTAAAAATCATGGAGACTAAAATTCTACCAATTACGTATAATGAGTTTTCATTTTCTCTCACATTTTGAAATTATCTTTTAAGTATTTAGTTTTATTATTATTTTGGATATTAATTTGTAAGCATGAGGTAAAATTCTTTTTTATGCAAGTGAAGTAGCGAATGCTTACAAATGTCCAGCTGTTACCCCAAATGTAATCATTTAAAGTAAAAAGAAAGAAAAATAATAGAGAGAAAAGATACCTTTTGTCACTGTCTTTGTTTCTGGTTTTTCTTTTTTCTCAAGTTTTTCCTTGTGAGTTGCTTAAATAGAAAATGTTTATATTAGTATATAATTTTAACAGATTTCAAAACAAGTTTACTCTTGATCCCAGTTCTATAATTATCAAAATCATGAAATATTTTAAAGACTTACAACGTTAATGAGCCTAATTCAGGAACAAAAAGTTACCAATGTAAGTGTAAAGTTTACTGTAAAACACTTGACATTAAGAATAAGAAAGTATGTTGAAAGCTAGACATAACTTCCTTCTTCTTAAGAAATACATAAAGCTTTCAAGGAGGAAAAACTGAGGGAACAACGTTATAAGAATTTGTTGAAATATATATCATTGTGTCAAGAAGAAGTACCCTCTTTAGAATTAATAACAAGAAATATTTAAATCAGGACTAAATTTTGATTAAGTACAGTGTTTCTCAACAGGGGCACGATTGACATTTGGGAAAGAACAATTCCTTACTGTATGGAATGCTGAAAAGTGTATATGATTGCTAGTGCCTGTTTACCAAATGCCCTGCATTCCAGTGTCATTTTTAACAACCAAAAGATTTCCAAACATTTCCCAAAGGATAACACCTTTCATTGAGAATCAACAAAAGTATATATAGTAATTTAAATAAAGATTACTAACTGAGTGCAGCTTCTTAATTCAACAGTATTCCATGTCTTTAAAACATTGTACATTCTCATTTTTACCTAATAAATTAATAAATCAATATGAATTTATTTTTAACTTCTATTTAATGTAGGTACCCAAATGAAGTCTTATGTCACATAGTGACATAAGTAAATTTGAGAAACTCAATAGCATGTCCAGCTAATTCTTACAGTTCAGATACATGGGTATTCATCTGTTTGGTTTGGTAGTTTCCCAAATTATTCTTTTATTTTTCAATTCCCACAAATAAATTTTGGAAAATTCAGTGACAAAAGTAGAGATTTAGTTAAATCATGGGTTTAAGAAAGGAGTCGGCTGGCACCCTGGCTCAATAGGTTCAATAGGCTAATCCTCTGCCTGCAGCGCCAGCACACCCAGTTCTAGTTCCAGTTGGGGCACTGGAATCTGTCCCGGTTGCCCCTCTTCCAGGCCAGCTCTCTGCTGTGGCCCAGGAGTGCAGTGGAGGATGGCCCAAGTGCTTGGGCCCTGCACCCGCATGGGAAACCAGGAGAAGCACCTGGCTCCTGGCTTCGGATCAGTGCGGTGCGCTGGCCGCAGCAGCCATTGGAGGGTGAACCAACGGAAAAGGAAAACTTTTCTCTGTCTCTCTCTCTCACTGTCCACTCTGCCTGTCAAAAAAAGAAAAGGAGTCAAATTGAGCCCCAAATACTTTTATTTCTTCAACTAAATAATAAAAATAGTAAGCTGCAGAAGCTTTACTTATAGCAGGACAAAAGTGTGCTTCAAATATGTATTTCTGAAAACATTCTCCTTAAATTCACTCTATGAAATATATAATAATTGAAAATTTGATTGTGTGTAGGGTAAAGGAAGCTTTATGTAAAAGAAGAAATTAGCAAATAACTTCAATGATTGTTGTCAAAAGCTGAAGTAGTTAACAACTGCCACCAGCAGAAGTGATTACACAAGTAAAAAGTTAAAATAGGCAGCACTGAATATGATACTTGATTCATTTTTGTCGACTGCCCATGCTGTATCTCACTGTGAGTGTTCCAACAAGCATAAAGGATTGGAAATTTATTCAAAAAGTTTGTTATTTGAATCTTCTAAGAGGAGATCACACACACCATTCTAACAAACTTTAAAATGTATTTATTTTGTAAAGTTATATATTTTTATTTTCTAGAAATATATTTAAATGCTAGATATAATAGTAAGAAAAATATATTAAATTTCTTTTATTATTAAATTATAATGTTTACTGAACTGCATTAGAATAATCAATATTCTATTGATTACTAAAAAAATAAATTCAGTCTATGAATAGTTTTCCCAGAATCAAGAGATGTGTTAGCCTGGTAGAAAACTTAAAGCACAATGTCTGACTGAAGACCAAGTGTCCCTGACAGATGCAGAGCAGACAAGAGAGCCAGTGCCTCTTCCTTCTCCAGGGAGCCAGCCTCCTCACTAGGCCTCCTGATCTCCTATTTTGGGATATGAGTAATAACTTGGACAATGTTAGGATTAGCAGCACTATGCTAAGCTAAGTATGGCACCATTTACCTACTGTCATGGGTCTCCATTCAAAGAACTTATTAAAAATTGCTTAATTGATATACAGTAAGTAAAAGAACACATAGCATTTTATTTCTGTTTCTCAATTTTGATAAATTGATAATTTAAGGGGGAAAATGTCTCAACTATTTTTAACAGACAATATTTTTAACAGATAATATTTATTGATGGTGAAAGTTGAAAAAGAATCAAGAATATCATATTATGCAATTTAATCAGAGTACACAAAAACCTGATGTTAATAATTCTGTAAAACTCACTAGTAAATGGGAAATGGACACCTGTCTCTAGAGCAAGAGAAAGGAGATGACAATATGGACATTCATGGCTACTATCACTGAGTATTAATAAATCAAGACTATTTGATTATAATTTTCAAGTGTCAATCTATAATGAACATAATGTGTCATAACACATTCTAACACATTCTACCTAAGTAAAATGCTTCACAGAATGAGAAAATTCAATGAACTCTGCATACTGTGGTAACATAAATCAGCTGAAACCTGGTTCTAATATGCTAGACATAAATACTTTAAAACAATTGCAAAAATAAAATTATAATCTTATTTTACATAATACCCTCAACTGGTTTTTTGATGAATTAAAGTTAGGTGTAAAGTGTGAAACTAACTCTTTAAGTTTGAGGGAAACAAAATATATTGATGGCTATTAAATTAATCTTTGGCTGAAGATGTGAAAGCAGCCATGCCACAGAGAATGTCAATATATTTAGTTATCTTAAAAAAATAATGAAGCTAAATGCATACACACAAGCATACACATTTATTTCCCAATCACACAGACAGAAATCCTAACATCCGCTTCAAAACCAATTGAGAAAGACATTTAAAAATCCATATTAAGCCTAGGGGTGTATATTCCCAAATGACATGCATACATACTCTTAGGAGAAATGGGAAATGAGTTCAAAGAGTTATACAAAAAGAAATACACATCATTAAAAATCATATTATTCCACTTTAACCATGGCCTTGTCTAAATATGATCAGAGTCAGTGAACTCAGGGGGCTACCATAGCCTTGGCAGCTCATGACAAGAGCCTAGGGTGATTACTGATGCCATAAACAAGAGTGTCAATTTGTTAAGTCCACAACAGGAGTCACTGTGCACTTACTCCTCATGTAGGATCTTTGTGCTTAGTGTGCTGTACATTGAGATTTAATGCTATAACTAGTACTCAAACAATATTTTTCACTTTATGTTTCTGTGTGGGAGCAAACTGTTGAAATCTTTACTTAATGTATGCTAAACTGATCTTCTGTATATAAAGAGAATCAAAAATGAATCTTGATGTGAATGGAAGGGGAGAAGGAGTGGGAAAGGGGAGGGTTGCGGGTGGGAGAGACGTTGGGGGGGGGCATTGTAATCCATAAGCTGTACTTTGGAAATTTATATTCATTAAATAAAAGTTAAAAAAAAATCAATGAAACACTGAAACAAGAAACAAAAAAAAATCATATTAAAATGTTTGAAACATGAAAATAACAGTTAAAAGACATGGTGAAAGAAAATATTCTGATTTAAATATTATGTATGCCTTTTAATAAAAATTAGGAAAAGAATTATTGATTTATATGTAAATATCTAAGATACATTTTTAGATCATAAAAATTAAAATAGAAAATATACAGGATTTTGTATGAAAATACAGGTTTTAATATTATATTAATGAAATATATTGTATGATATTATTTAGGTTATAGTAATATTAATAAGTTATTACTAGCAAAAGTGATAACATAGATAATTAATTAAACTCATACTAGGGTTTATGGTGAGAATGCAAAGGTCAGATATTATGTGTATAGTGAAGGTGGGAACAAGGCGAGAACATTTCCTCAGTGTGTCTTTAGGAGTTGAACAATGAGGTTGAATTTCCAATCTAGTCTAAATACCTAGATAAAAAATTAGAAATTAAAAATATCTATCCACTAGGTAATTAAAAATGCAGCTTAAAATAATGACACTTGCTTTATTTGTATCAATCTGGGGTGAGGCAGTCTAACAACTAACGGGAAAATTTGCCACAATTTTTCTACCGCTTAAAGTAGTAACAAAATTTGAGGGTCTTGAGTCTTTATTTTCTTCAGTCCAGAAATTCCACTTTCCAGATTACATTTTGAGGAAATAATCATAAAATCATTTCTAAAAGAAGATATATGTTGTCATCTGAACTCTGAATATAAAGAAGGGGTTGTCAAGGAGGAGGATTCAAAGTCTGCCAGAGCATAAAAATATCATACCTTTCTTCTCAGGTTTTTCTTTCTCCTTTACTTTTTCTTTTTCTTTTTCTTTTTCTTTGTGTACCACTGGAAAGAAACAGATAATCAGAGAATTGTTTTCATTTAAATAAAAATAATAAAATGACAGTTTTATGTCAAAAATTGTTCTACTTTTAGAGATATTTTTTAACTGACATGAAGGTTTATATACTTAGAGGTTTAAATTTCAAGATAATAATAGATTTATATTTTCTTTCTATTTTTATTTCAAAATCAAGGGCAAACTGGTACAAATTCAAATCTGACTGCAAAAATAAGAAAACCTCTTGATTCTTCCAAATCTTACATTTTATGAATTGGAGAATAGAAAAAAAAAAAAAACACAATATATGCTAAAGGAGCCCAGTTCTAATACTGAATGAATGGCAGAAATACAAGGATGGGGCTGGCACTGTGCTATAGGGGTAAAGCTGCCGCTTGAAGTACCAGCATCCCATTTGTAGACTGGTTCAAGTTCCTGCTACTCCACCTATGATCCAGCTCTCTGCTATGGCCTGGGAAAGCAGTAGAAGATGGCCCAAGTCCTTGGGCCCCTGCAACCGCATGGGAAACCTGGAAGATGCTCCTGGAACCTTGCTTTGAATTGGCACAGCTCCAGCCAGTGTGGCCATTTGGGGAGTGAACCAGCGGATGGAAGACCTCTCCCTCTCTCTCTCTCTCTCTGCCTCTGCCTCTCTGTAATTCTGCCTTTCAAATAAATAAGTAAATACATATTTTTAAAAAGAAAAGAAATACAAAGATGAAAATACAGAAACATAAATATCTTTTTGCAGCTGAAGAAAAAAATAATCAACCTAAATTTTTTGGGTTAAATCTCTATAGGAACATACTATACATTTTTTTTTTGCCAATTTACTGGAATAAGACTATAATGACATCAAATCTTCCAAATACAAAAAATTAATTTAATATGAATGATGAATAAATTAATTATTATAATAGGACCCAATTTATATCATAATCTTAGCTCATACTTTATTCATAACCCTTATGAATTACCCAAGCTACAGAAATTGAACTCATCTCTGATTGGTTTCTTTCACTCTTATTTGCCAGTTCTGTTGATTTGCCAAGCTCTGTGTATCTTTTCTTTCTGTTGTTCTTCTTACTCATCTTCTTTCATTGGATATTACATTCCCTACCTAACATTTACTTATACAGAAAGATAGAAACAGCACTATCTTGTGTTAAAAGATCTTCCAAGCAAGACAGATTCTATCCCTGTCATCCTGATGCCAACAAGCTAATGGATGGTAATGGATGCTAAACAAATAATTATAGATAGTTAAGTGCAGTTAGTATTATGGCTATTCAAGGTGTCATGTTGATATATAAATGGGAACCAATCCCACCTCCATGCTTGGAGAAGGTCCCTGGAGGGGAATAACAGTTAAGAATGTGAAAAGTGAGATAAAATTAGTTTCTTCAAACAACAGAAAGGACAAAGGGGAAAGAGACCATTTCAAAACATTGGAGTGGGATGTCCATATTAGGCATGCAATTTTACACTGATTACTGTAATAATATCCTAATTAGTCGCTTGAACCTTTAGCTCTTGATTTATTTCTTTAATAGCAACTTTTCTAACATGAAAATTTGATTATTTAATTCACTTATTAATAAATGTTAGCGTTCTTACTCTAAGTTCAGAATGGGGGGTAGGCGCGCTGTGGTGTAGCAGGCTAAGCTTCCACCTGGGCACTGGAATCCCATATGGGCTCCAATTCATGTCCCGGCTGCTCCACTTCCAATACAGCTCTCTACTATGTTCTAGGAAAGCAGTAGAAGATGGCCCAAATACTTGGACTCCTGCACCAGTTTGGTAGACTCAGAAGAAGCTCCTGTCTTCAGATGGGCTCAGCTCTGTCCACTGTGCCCATTTGGGGAGTGAACCATTGGATGGAAGACCTTTCTCTCTCTGTCTCTCCCTCTCTTCTCAGTAACTTTACCTCTCAAATAAATAAATAAATAAATAAAATATTTTAAAAAAAATGTTCAGTATAGTATTAGCAACATGGTAGGTGCTATCAAATATTTTCTAACTTTTATTTAACAAATATAAATTTCCAAAGTACAGTTTATAGATTACATTGGCTTTTTCCCCCCTATAACTTCCCTCCCACCCACAACCCTCCCATCTCCCTCTCCCTCTCCCATTCCATTCACATCAAGATTCATTTTCAATTATCTTTATATATAGAAGATCAATTTAGTATATATTAAGTAAAGATGCCAAATATTTTAAATGATTTAATAGTATAGCATTAGTTTACTAATCCAATCTCTCACCAAGGCTTCTCGTTGAATGTTACATTTTAGTTATAACAAAATGCTTGTAAATACAGAAGCACACCACGTGCCCACATAATACCCTTGATCTTCTGCCAGTTTGTGTTCTCCATCTAGAATTCCCAGTTCCATATTTCCTCACTTTCATTTTCCTCTTCCTTACAATCTTGCAGTATTGGTACAAATGCATCCTCATCTGTAATGTTTTATTTAACCTCTACCTATTCCATACACCCATTATATCATTACAAATAATATTACAATTGTTCACTTGTCTTACTATCCAGTAGGTTACATCTTTAAAAGCTATGACATAGGAGTTTATTTTGGCAGCCCTCACTCATCATTTGCCATGTGTCATTTGACGGACTGAATATATTTTTCATTAAGTGAAATCCTAAAATATGAAAAAGACCTAGGTTCATCTTTCAGTGAAATTCTCTTTAGAGATGTTTGATAGAGATATTATAGGCATTGTTTCCTTTCAATCATTTGTAATTATTTATAATTTATTAAAATTGCCTAAATAATTAAATCCTAGAGCAAAACATAGAGGAAACAAAATAAAAGATTTAAACATTATTTTTCTTCCTACATTTAATGTTTCTTTTTAGGTGCTTCTAAGCTATTAAGGTTAAACACATACCTTGCAATATAATGGAAGAAAAACATTTACATTGACCACAAATAGCTTCTTCTGGTTACTTTGGATCACTATTAATTAAGCTGAAAACCAAAAGAAATTCTTGGCAACAACAAAGCGTCTTTTAATATTTCTCTAGGGGGAAACCTAGTTTGCATGTGATAAACTGGGCTTGCAAAGACCTGGTTGAGAAGATTCCCATGGGGACACATAATCTGTGGCTCTGCTCCTGTCAGGGACAGGCCTCACCCACCTCAGACAGCTGGTTGTCCATTCCACTAAAGGATTTTCAGATTGACGTGTGCACAGGCATAAATGGGAGAATTAATACAAAATCAAAAGAGCAAGGTGGAGTGTGGGGGAGGCAAAGCTGAATTCAGACTCAAATTAGCATATTAATGCCTCATTCCTGTTACCCTGGGGGAGAAATCTGGTTTATCCCAGACGAAGTTTTGATTTACACACAGTACTGTATGCTGGAATTTCATTATCCCCCTCTGACTTGGCACCATAATACAGCTTAGTGAAGCAGCTGGACCCATGGGCTCCAGGGAGCTGTTCAGCATGGCAGGCAGCCACGAAAACTGCTTGAACTGAAATTGCAAACTTTGGCAAGACTGTATTCAAATACCAAGTTTTGAAATGTTTTTTATTGTAATAACACAACTATCAGTAACTGCTTTAATAACCGCCCTAAAATAAAAATGATTCACCACAGCAACTGCATTTGATTGTGAGTCTGTTTGCTTAGAACCCATAACCAGGAATGCTTAACTGGGCTAAGAAAGAGTACCTCTTTGTCATAGCCCTGTTGGGCAAGTTAAATCGTAGCCAAGACAGTTTTAGCTCAGGACAAAATAAGCTCTTTGCACCTGCTAGAGCTTAATTTGTTTGTCATCCTTATTTACAAGAAACAAAAGTCCCTTCGGTGTGCTGATAATTAAAAACGAATGGAATCCACCAGTTGGAATCGCCTTGATTTTTGGCATCTGAATTGGCAAGGTTCTGCTGTCCCTGCATTTGTACATAGTCTGACCTTTTCCTGACCAGAACATTCAGCTCAACTCAACTCTAAAGTGTGGCACTCGATCTCCAAGCGTGGCACCTCTCCATCGGTCCCTGAGCTGTGCTTGCCAGGCAGACTCTGCCTGTTTCTGAAGATATCAGAGCCCACAGTACCCCTGACTCTGTGGTTCATATTGGTCAAAACACTCTCCAGGGACCAAACAGTGGTTTCAGGAGTTCTCTCCTTGATTGCTTAGCTCTTGGTTTGAAAATCAGAAGTTTTAGTGCCAAAATGGTTAAAGTGTTAATTTGTATAAGCTATTACATCCTTCAATGGGTAGTTAGCAAATAAATTAAATTAACTAAAACCTTGGAATTCATGCTTGATTTCAGAGCTGCATAAGACTAATCTTCAATACTTGAATCAAAAGAAAATAGATTGATAAGCAAGCAGACATTAAATCTTTTCATTGCAAAAAACATAGGGAACATGATTACCTACAACAGATTTCATTTTTCTTTTAATTAATTTCTCTGCTTTCAGATTGCTGGTACTTTATTTGTGGGACACAATAGTACTAAAGTAGTCAATAAATTCTAAATAAGAAACAAAGAGCTCCATGAAAATAACATGCATCCATTTTTAATTCACTATTTTATGAAAGACCACAATACACATTTGTTTGAAATCTTACAAAAACCACAAATTCTAGCTTAGCCATCACTAAATAAATGTCAAATGTATTCTGTTAGTGTCTATTTCCCTGTTTGTATTTCATTTTTGTAAGATTTACTTTATCAGCCGGTGCCGCAGCTCACTTGGCTAATTCTCTGCCTGCGGTGCCGGCATCCTGGGTTCTAGTCCCAGTTGGGGGCGCCAGATTCTGTCCCGGTTGATCCTCTTCCAGTCCAGCTCTCTGCTGTGGCCCAGGAGGGCAGTGGAGGATGGCCCAACTGCTTGGGCCCTGCACCCGCATGGGAGACCAGGAGGAGGTGCCTGGCTCCTGGCTTTGGATCAGTGCAGTGCGGGCCGTGGCAGTCATTGGGGGGTGAATCAATGGAAGGAAGACCTTTCTCTCTGCCTCTCTCT